TTTTTGGTCTTTTTGAGACAGGGTCTCCCTGTAGCCCCAGCTGTCCTGGAACTCACTATGTAGACCAGGTTGGCCTTCAACTCACAGAGATCCGACTGCCTCTCCCTCCCAAGTGCTGGGATTAAAGGCATGCGCCACCATGCCAGGCTGTATCTTGTAACTTTACTAAATTAGTTTTAGCTTTAATAGATTTTTTTGTGGAATCTCTGGGTTTTATATATTAAAAAATCATGTCATCTGCAAACAGTAACAATTTAACTTGTTCCTTTCTTGCCTTTGATTCTTTTGTCTAATTGCTTTACCTAGGATTTCTTCCATATTTGTTTCAAATCAACTTTTTACTGATGACTTTTTCATGGCCACATGACAATCATTAAGGCTTAGTCTGTCTCCTAAACCAAGAGGGTCAGTGATCTGAGCCACTGATTTGCGAGTGTAGAGACTTTGCTCATTGGCATCCCCAATCCATACATTAAGGGTCAGCTCTTCCCTACCTGGAGAAGCTTTCTCCAGCTCTTATATCCGCATGGCAGGTGGTGACTCTCAGTACTGCTACCCAATTCTCATGCCTCCCTTCTTTATGCTCTTTAAAAGAGACCACTCACAATAGCAGATGTTACAGCTTCCTGAGAACGGTGGCATCAAAATAAACAAGAAATGGTGAGGAGGGTGGGATATGAAAAGGGCAAAACAAAAAATAAAAATAACACCAAGATCAGTTCCCCACATTGCAAGCACTTTTGCACATTTGTGTATTCATTCAGGAACTGGCAAACTACCTAGGAGCTTAGTGAGAGATGGTTCTGGGAATGTCAGCCTGCTTTGATTCTGCAATTCTCTGTTTATAGAGGAGCCATGTTGCACTGAAAAAAAGTCATGTGACATTCTGATCTCTTTCTTTAGTTTATTATTACATTTTAAAAGTTCCTGGGAGGACTTTTTCTTGGGAAGCCCTCATCCACTCTAGGCTGTGTACCAGTGTCTTTCTCTTACATCTCTCTCTTTCTCCCCTCTTAACACCCGTGCTTAAATCTACATTAAACTTTTTCTTAATAAACTCCAACTTTGCTTCAAAAATGAGGGAGGGAGGGAGGGAGGGAGGGAGGGAGGGAAAGCTTCTCCTGGGAGAAGCATACATAAAACATAAATAGGAGGTGCTACATTTACTGAATCTATCACCATGTTAGTTTAATAGGATGTAAAAGTATAGGTCAGATAAACTGCTTTTTTATACTGTTGCTATGGGATAGGACACATAAAGACTTTCTTTTGTCTTTGGTTAATTGATTCGATTGGTTGATTTACTTATTCCAAAAGTAATTTGAAAGAACTCCCACCTACCAAACTATGTTGTCACATTCTGTAACATGGTAGCTATATTAACACACGACTTACGACATGCAATCTTTTACCAGATACAATATTAGCAGCCCTGGCTTAGACTAGAGCCAGGATCACAAAGAGAAACCAAGTCACACCAATCTGAAGGGTTTGGACCCTGCAGTAGAAACAGATACAATTAGGATGGGCTGTGTGAAGGTATGGGAGTCTAACACACGAATTTTTGTTTGTTTTGGGTTTGGTTCTTTGATAGAGGGTTTCATCTAGCCCAGGCTAGCCTTGAACTCCCTACATACCCGACTGGCCTTGAACTCCTGATCCCTATGCCTCTGCCTTCCAAGTGCTGAGTTGCAGGTGTGCGTTACCGCCACACACCCAGCTATTTTGCTTTTACTGAATTTTTCTGAACTTATTATCTGACAAATTATTTTTATTTGGATTTTTATTAAGTACTTCAACAATATTGATAATATTGACCCCATTCAGTTACATTCCTAAGTATTGTCCCTTACCAGGAAGCCTGTAGTGATAAAAGATCAGGTCCCTGGAGAATCAAGGACATTTCTTCTCTCTGGCTATAAGAGTTGAGAGGAAGATACCACTATTCTTAGAGCCCAAAGGAGGAGAGGGCACCCAAAGGAGGTTGATTCCTGCATGATGGATGCAGGTCTTTTACAAAGTTTTGGTTCTGTGTGCCAAGGGAAGCTTAAGACATTCAGAAATTGGCCACATAACTTACCATTTCATCTTCCCCCACAGTCCTTCCCCCAGCAGAAACTTTTGATCACTGCCGCTGGAACACCAGCAGGCACCCCGTGACTGCAGCTCTCATTTGATTTGTTCACATGATCTGTAGAGCTCTCTTCCCTTCCTCTGGGATGGAAAATGTCATACATGGGGTAAGGAAGCCTACCCTGAGCACCAGGAAATTTATTGTTTCCATCTTAAAAAGAAATACAGTTGATCTCAGTCAACATGTTTTTAATTGTCTAAGTCATTGTGTGTATATGTTCCATGTGTGTGCAGGCCAAGCCTAAGTACCACATTTTCAATCTGTGTAAACTATAATGGATAAACGGCAAATGACAGTAGGCTTAGCCCCAGAATATTTACTACGAAAAGACAGCTGCATGGCAAAGCTGCTGCTAATAATTAGGGAAGGAATAGCCCATGCCCTGTGGGACTTGGCAGCTTCAACCATTGAATTGACAGCCAGTTTGCACAGCTCTGTAGCCCCTTTCTTTATGGACCAGGAGTTAATTTTTTGTTGACAGTTTTCATCATCTCTAGTGTCATTGTAAAATCAGGTATGACATGATTTAAAATCCCAAGTAGAAGCCATGACGGATGAGACAAACAGAAATTTGTAATGTTTCTTTTAACGTTGTAAAGAAAAACTGTTTTTGAAACCACACAGACTCTCAGTTTTTGACAGGACCATACTGCCAGTTTTGTGTTTGACAAGAAAATGATAACGCTTTCTTCGACTTGAGAGAGCTGCGAGTGTCACAGCACGCCCTCCTCCTGTAGAATGGCTCTCAACAGGACTGATTGGGAAGGAAATTAATAGGCTTCCCATTGTTCCATGCATTTTTGCCAGGATATTTCATTAGTGTAAACACTGAACCCTTTGTTGCCTTGTTTCAGCACTTGACCCTGGTAATTTTCAATTCTGCTTGTGCTGTGAAGTACAGCGGTGGCATGCACGGAGACAGGCGCTAATTATTAGAAGCAGAACCACTGCTGACCCAGTGCGAGATTAGCTGCTCCTTTGCAGTCTTTATTCTGGGATATTAGCGCTGTCTGGTTATCTTGCCTCAGTTGAGAGACTCGGGACAATAGCAGTGCTGATGGTAATGTTGGCAATTTCCCTGTTTGTTTTGCAGGTCACGGCCAGGGGCTTTGGGCCGCTGTTACAGTTTGCCTACACTGCCAAGCTGTTACTCAGCAGAGAAAACATCCGCGAGGTCATCCGCTGTGCTGAGTTCCTGCGCATGCACAACCTGGAGGACTCTTGCTTCAGCTTCCTGCAGACCCAGCTCCTGAACAGTGAGGATGGCCTGTTTGTGTGTCGAAAAGACAGCACGTGCCAGCGCCCACATGAGGACCATGGGAACTCTGCCGGAGAAGAGGAGGAGGAAGAAGAAGAGACAATGGACTCAGAGACAGCCAAGATGGCTTGCCCCAGAGACCAGCTGCTTCCAGACCCCATCAGCTTTGAGGCCACTACCATCCCAGTAGCAGAAAAGGAAGAAAGTTTGCTACCCGAGTCCGAGGTGCCCATAGACACCAAGGAAAGTACAGAAAAGGATGCATTGACACAATACCCCAGATACAAGAAGTACCAGCTTGCATGTACCAAGAATGTCTATAATGCATCATCACACAGTACCTCAGGTTTTGCAAGCACATTTAGTGAAGATAGCCCTGGCAATAGCCTCAAGCCAGGGCTCTCCATGGGGCAGATAAAAAGTGAGCCACCCAGTGAAGAAAATGAAGAGGAGAGCATCACACTCTGCTTGTCTGGAGATGAACCTGATATCAAGGACAGAGCGAGGGATGTCGAGATGAACCGAAAACAACCCAGCCCTGCCCCTACTCCCAGCACACCTGCTGGAGCTACCTGCCTGGATAGGTCCAGGAATGTGTCCTCACCTTCCTGTCTACGGTCTCTGTTCAGTATAACAAAAGGTGTGGAGTTGTCTGGCCTGCCCAGTACATCTCAGCAGCACTTTGCCAGGAGTTCAGCATGCCCTTTTGACAAGGGGATCACTCAGGGTGACCTTAAAACTGACTACACCCCTTTCACAGGGAATTATGGACAGCCCCATGTGGGCCAGAAGGATGTGACCAACTTCACGATGGGGTCACCACTCAGAGGGCCTGGGCTGGAGGCTCTCTGTAAACAGGAGGGAGAGCTGGACCGGAGGAGTGTGATCTTCTCCTCAAGCGCTTGTGACCAAGTGAGCACTCCAGTGCATTCATATTCTGGGGTGAGCAGTTTGGACAAAGACCTCTCTGAGCAGGTGCCAAAAGGTCTCTGGGTGGGAGCTGGCCAGTCCCTCCCCAGCTCACAGGCCTACTCCCACAGTGGGCTGATGACTGACCACTTGCCAGGAAGGATACGGCCCAACACCAGCTGCCCAGTGCCAATCAAAGTCTGCCCTCGCTCACCCCCTCTAGAGACCAGAACCAGGACTTCTAGCTCCTGTTCCTCCTATTCCTACGCAGAGGACGGGAGTGGGGGCTCTCCTTGCAGCCTCCCTCTCTGTGAGTTCTCCTCCTCACCCTGTTCCCAGGGAGCCAGATTCCTTGCCACAGAACATCAGGAACCAGGCCTGATGGGAGATGGAATGTACAACCAAGTCCGACCCCAAATTAAATGTGAGCAGTCTTATGGAACCAATTCCAGTGATGAATCTGGATCATTCTCGGAAGCAGACAGTGAGTCGTGTCCTGTGCAGGACAGGGGCCAGGAGGTAGGGAACCCACACATTAAGTTCAAGCATTTGATCTGCTATCTCAGTCCTTTACCTGAATTTTTCCCTATAGCCAAACATCACTCCCAGATTGTGCTTATGTGTCAGGTTTAAAGGTGACAGCAATCGGACTGTCTCTTCCTTCATGGAGGCAGAATGCTGCGAGATGATTCAAAACAGCTACTTCTGTCTTAGGAGACACTTATTTGATCTGGATTTCAGTGCTCAATGAGCAAAGGCAAGCAGCTTACTGAAAAACTGCAGTGCATGAAAGTGTGCTCAGATACTTTAACATGCCCCCATTGCTCCTCCCCCTCCCTCTTCCCTTTTCCACCTGCTTTCAAAGAATGCCCTCATATTTGCTATTCACACTTTTGATAGGAAAACAAATGTAGCTTCACTGAAACTAGATAAATCCACACAAAACAGGTGCTTTCCCAGGACCTAATAAGTATTTCTTGTCAACAGAAGATGCCAGGGTCATCCCATATCCATCACAGTGTGGGTAATGGAATGCTCACCATCTGTCCTAGTCACAGGATCCCTGCAGAAGTACCCGGGTCTGCACGTGGAGCCATGTAATGGCTTATTTCTCAAGCTCCCACCAACGATAAGAAGTCATTTGGTAGAGTAGTGTTATTGTCCATCCTGAAAGTATTGTGCTTTTGTTGATAAGAATTTCTAAAAGTTTCATCTGTGGGTCACTGTGGGAGAAGGAGCAGGGGCAGCACTGGCCACAGCAAGAGCAAGAGTCTCACGACTAAGAGAACAGTCCAGAGGTCACTGTGTCCCCAGTAACTTGAAGGTTCCCTAAACAGACCTGGGGGCGGGGGTCTATTCATGACCTGATACCCACTGAACTACCTTACTGATTGACAATGAACCAGCTAGAGTTGCCCACGTGTGCCTCACACCTGCCTTAGGAGCAGTAGTGAGCAAATCGGTGACAGGCTCTGCCACTGTGTCTGAAAAACACAGAAAGACAAGCAACATGAGCTGAAGGTGTAGCTTGGGGGTAGGACTCTTGCCTGTCATGACACACCATAGGTTCAATCCTTGCTACTGCAAAAAGAATGAAGGGAGAGAGGTAGGAAGAGGGGGAGGGAGGTGCTCATGAGGCTGGTGTGCTTAGTACTTCCCTGCCCTTAGTAGAGATTGGTCAGCAGACATTAACCTGACCAGATGGCAGGACTACCATTTGAGGTGAGATAGCTTTCCACAGAGCTGTGTGGGGTTTATACAGCCTCTGCAAGACTAATGGGCAGAAAGCTCCTGAGATTTTACTTCAGGTACATTTTTTTAAATAGACTCCAGAGTTCCCTCCAGCTCGCTGCAGAAATGCCCTTGTCCTTACTCTCTGCTTTACTGGCTTACCGGGTCCTGCATTGTTATTACTGTCTGGCAGAAATGGAGGAGACAGAAAGCCAGACACCGAAATGGTTTCATTTAACAAAGAGAATTAGGAAGGAAATGTGAATGGAAACCATCCTGTTCAGATATACCTGTATCCTTAAGTTTGGCATGGGGGGTTGTCACCAGTTCCCAAGACATACTACTCTGTCCCTGGCCCTGAGACAATGGGGCTTCATGGAAACAAGGATAAGCTGTGTTCTCTCCTCTTGCATTCTTTCCTTCTGACAGCTTTCCTGAGGTTTACTTTTGTCCCTGGAACTGTTCACAAGTGTGCCTCATGCAGAAGGCTAGTCATTGGGTCAACTTGATCCCTGTGACTGATCTTACCAAGGGCTGGTAAAGGGAGGCTAACTGCCTCTGAGGTTTTGGTTTTTTTCTCTGAAAATGAGCCCTACATTTAGCTCAAGAGATCATGTTTTTAGGAGAGATAGATGATAGATAGAGAGAGAGAGAGAGATAGATGATAGATAGATAGATAGATAGATAGATAGATAGATAGATAGACAGATA